TTAAAATATTGACTGAATTCAAGAACACCTAATAAATAACATTTTGGCAACTATTATATCAGGAAGATATGAGTCCTTGATAGAAAATCATACTATCTAATGACAATATGAATAGACTTTATATTGATAATTATTTTTCTTCTTTTTTACCCACTTTTCCCATCATGTAAACTTTAATATTCTGTACCTGTTTTTCATCCAGGAAAGTGAAAAAAATAATATATATTTCTCAGCCATTAGAGATGTTGTAAAAGAAAAATATTAATAAATATGAGAGCATTTCATTATGTTTTATCAGAAGATTATTTATTCCTTCTTACAATTTGTGGTACACCTTGTACACGCACTGGGCCAAAGTGAGTTAATCTCAGTATTTATGATCAGGAGTTTCTAATCTAAAGTAGACAATAGAGAGATAAAGGTATAGACAGAATGATGTAAATTAATTCATATTTATTTATCATAAATGCAAATACAATGATTGGTAACATTGCTATCAAGGTGACTAAAGACAGAGGCCGTTCATATTTGAATGAGGTTGTTTGGAAGATGAGAGATTCCAGGACAGACTCAACTTGAAATGAGAACAAATGAGGGATAAATAAGTATAAATGATATAAAAAAAGCCTTTTCCTATCTTAGATTTGATTTTTAAATTACACTAAAACTATGCTACATAATATGTAAGTGTACAAGTTTCAAACAGAACAGAAATACATAAAGCAACCCTTAAAATTCCTTACAACTTACTCTTCATTGCCTTTTCTCATTGCAGAAGTGACAACTGTCAAACCATAATGACTCTTATTTTAGATTTTTAAATGTAATCTATATGCACAAAAAGTGTCCAAAATGTAAATGTTTGCTCAATGAATGATCTAGAAGTGAAATGCTATGTAACCACTGCTCAGATCAAGAAATAGGATCATAAGAGGACTCAGAACAGCCCTGTGGTGTTGCTTTTCCTTTGCTTGTTTGTTTGTTTTGTTTTGTTTTTAGATTTTTGCTAGAGGGTGCATGCACTGGCCAGAGAGAGACAGATAGAGACAGAAGGAGAATGTGAGAAATCACCCCCAATCTCCTCCATTCTCCTCTGGGAATTTTGAGTATGCACACACATGCACCTGGCATGTTTTTTAAGTTGTCGGGTCCAGGACTCAAACCACAGGGTTGACCGTGTGAGATTCAGCACCTTAACCACCATACCACTTGCTGGCCCCAAGAACAGCCCTTATCTTATCCCATCTTTACCCAATACTCACTCATATCTCAAGAGAAGTATTATTATTTCTAATAATAATGTTAATTTAACCTCTTTTTAAATTTAATAATTAGAATCATAACATTTTGTTTATGCGTGCTATCTTCTTTCTGTTTGATCTTATATTTGTGACATTGTAGTTCGTTGTGTATCTGCAATTTATTCATTTTCACCTCTGTAAGATATATTTTTCACTTTTTAATGGCATATGATAATTCTACATATCTGTGCCATACAATGTGATTTTTCAGCACAAGAAAACAATGTGTATCGATCAAATCAAGAAGATTTATATAGCCATTAACCCAGCCATTTGTCATTACTTTATGTTGGGGACATTCAAAATCCTTTTTTAAAGTTGCTATGATAAATAAAGTGAATGGTTATTAACTATATTCACCTAACTGCTTTGATAACACTAGAAATCATTCCTTAGATCTATCTATAATTTAGTTTCCATTAATCATCATCCCTCTAGCACCCCTAGTCATTCTTCAACTCTATTTCTACGAGGTCATTTATTTAATTTCTACATATGAGTGAGAATATGTGGGTGTTCTTCTTCTGTGTCTGACGTATTTTACTTAACACAATGTTAAGGCTTGCTTATTTTACCTCAAATGGGCAAGCCTATATGATATTATGGATTAAAAATATACCATAATTCTTTAGCCTATTTTCCTCTTGATGGATATTTTCTCATTTGGGCTGTTTTCATTAATGTTGCTATGGGCATTCTTTCTTGCTCACATATTTAGCTCAAGTAGATGCCTAAGTGTAACATTCATTGGCTCACAGACACATGAATGTTCACTTTTAGTTGATAATACTAAAATGTCTTTCAAAGTAGTTGTATTAATCGACATTCTCAGCAGTAGTAGAGTTTCTTTTGCTCTAGATTCTCAAAAAAAACACTGAGTGTTATCAATCTTTGAAATTTTAGCTTTGTTAGTATATTAGTTGTATTAATCGACATTCTCAGCAGTAGTAGAGTTTCTTTTGCTCTAGATTCTCAAAAAAAACACTGTTATCAATCTTTGAAATTTTAGCTTTCTTAGTATATCTCCTTGGTCCAGGTATACAGCAGTATTCTTCCAAATATGCCTGGGAAATAGTGATTAGGGAACAGAAAGATCGAGAATTTATCAATAGACTCTACCAGTGTTATATAAAAGTATTATTTGGGTTGAAGGTTATAAAATCAAATATAGACAGAGGGATAATTCCTATGCACAAATTTTCTGAAGACTTCAAGGAACCAATAGCTGCTGAAGAGATAAATCAACCCAGAAGTCCTACCTGGATCTTAGTTCTATTCTATTCTGAATTTTTGTGGTTTATTCAAGATGTGTTTACAAAGTAAGAGTATATAGGTCTAAGGTTCCAGAAGTTTTATGTCTGTAATCAATGACAACATCACTTAAGTTTCAGGATTCACTTCCTGACCCTGGAAAAATGTTACTTTTTTTTTCGCCCCTATATCCCCCAAAGACAGGAATAAAAATTACCTGAGAGGAAGAACTGACAAAGTCCGGGATAACTAATGATCACTAAGAGGGATGCTGCCATGCCAAGTTGGAGGACAGTACCCCAAGATCCAAATATGAATGTGGACCCAAATAGATGTGCAGAGGTGATAATGCTCATGGATCAAATAAAATTTTATACCTCTGTGCATGCCCACCTAGAAAACAGAAAGGCTGCGGACAATACTGTTTTTTTCTTCTGTATACAAATATTCTTAAACTAAAATCAGTCTCTATGAGAAGGAAAGATAGAAGGGGAAAAGCATGCTTTAGAAATCATTGGAAAAATCCTTAAATGATTCACATAATCAAAAATTATTAAATTCATTTTTATGCAATCAGAAAAAATGAGAGCTATAATTAAAAACTTTTAAAATAATATTACTTGAGAACATCCCTCAAAATATGGAACTAGGTATATTTGTCTGTCTTTGATATATGTAAACTATGTCATTATAGGCATTGTGTGTTTCTGTTCTTATTCTTAAAGCTAGCTTGATGGTAGACATGGCTGCTGTCCATCAATATGAGTATATTTAATTAAAAATGCTCAAAAATTATAGTTGTAAATATATGAGAATCAAAGTAAATATGTGAAGTAAATATGAGAAATAGTAAAGAAGGGAAGTAAAATTTTTAAAAAAGCACTTTGAGAAATTGATTAATAATGGATAAAATTCATTTTTATTTTGCTTATATATTCTATCCTTCAATATCATTGTAAACTATATGTTTACAAGTATTTTCAAGGCATATAATATTCAACTATAGATTTGTTCTCTTCTGTGAGATGAATTTCAGCTGCTCTTGATGTCAAAATAATAAACTCTAAATTAGCTAGGCTTCACTGAAGTATGGAATATTTTTCCATATTCACATAATACTTCTTGTTTTAAATAATTATTTTATTTAACTTTACTTATTTTAATTACTTATTTTAATTGGACCAGAGAGGTACAGAGTGAGAGAGAGAGATGGAAAGTGAGAAAGCAAGTTGCCTGCCAGGTTTGGGACTCGAACCACAGTAAGCCATGTGGGAGTATAGTGCCCTGAACCACCACGCCACCTGCCAGGCCCCCAATATTACTTCTTGTAAATGTACCAGGGGGCAATATTTTTTATAAAAGATCATTGACTATGTATTACACTGTTCCCTGAGGATCTAGGTTGCTCACTTGGAAGAGAATATGCTCATGAAGAGAAAATATTTTCAGAAGATTAGAGCAAGCAAGACAGAGAATTTATAAAATACTACATGTAAGGTGTAAAGTAACCTAAAAGCATAATTTTTGAATAGAAATTTATAGGTGAATTAAGAAATTCAGTACTTTTTAGGTTGAAATAATTTTTCAAATTCATGATAGCTTTTTTTTTTCTTTCTTTCAAGAGAAATTTTTGCTAGAGGGCACATATGCTCACCAGAGAGACAGAAGACAAGAAATCACTCAACAGGGGGGATGGCCACACCACAATCCCTTCTTCTCTATTCTCCTCTTGGGATCTTGGGCACACATGCACTTGTGACTGCACTCATGCCAGGCATGAGTTTTAAGCCACGGCAACCAAGACTCGAACAGCGGTCAACTACATGGGAGTCCAGCGACATAACCGTTATGCCAACTGCTGGTCCCAAATTCATGAGATGTCTAAAAATTGATGAAGGAGCCAGCAGGTGTCCTGGTGGTTAAGGTGCTGGACTTTCACATGGTCAACTACAATTCAAGCCCCAGACCCAGAGACTTGAAACTCACATCAGGGGAATATGCATGTGTGCCCAAAATCTCAAGAGGAGAAGGGATTACTGTGTGACCATCCCCTCTGAAGGTGATTTCTCACTTTCTCTGTCTCTCCAGCAAGCTCACATGCCCTATGGCAAAATCTTTTTAAAAAAATTAGTGAGGTACAAATAACTGAGTATGCAAAATTCTCTGAGTGTCTTGAGAAATTTCATTTTACATCATCTGGCTGTCGTCATCTTAGGGTGGTTTTTCATGATTACAATGTTTCCACACAGGTTCACTTTTCCTGTGATAGGTAATTACCAGCGTTTTTTCTTTTACTGAATTTTTGTATGTCTGCCAGTAGATGGCGGTACCACGTCGAGTGCTGTCGACTTTTTTTTATTTTTTATTTTTTTCTTCTCAGAGCTGTTTTCTGATATATGTTGGGTACCATAGAGTGAATCTCAGAACAGGAAGCGGAGGCATAAGCAGAGAGGATTCTGGAAAGGTCTCTTTGTTTTCTTGTCCACAGAGCAGGCAAGAAAACATTTGTAATTCATTTGTGGACCTCTGTGGCCAAAATCTCAGCAACTGCAGAGGAAGGCATATTCTCTAACCATCTTGGATGCTGGGCTTTGTTATGCTGTGATCCGTAGGCTCTGCTTTATCAGGTAAGCTGGCAAGACGGTTCATTATCTGCACCATAGAATCTAGCCGCCTGGTCATTTTGCTCCTTTTGAAATTATCTTCATGCTGCTATTTTAAGCCAGATGTCTAAATGTAAATTATAGGAACCAAGGGCATCATTTGATGTGTGAACTACTTACTATGCCTTTATGTTTCAAAGGAAATAGAGCCTCTGACCAGAAATGGTGACTTATGGTACAGACGAGGCATCAATAATCTTGTGTTTCTGAAACATACAGAGGCTGATAATTCATTGTTTTCAGGGGAAATTTTAAATTAAACTTAAAGCTAATCTAATTGATTTCATGGCTGTGTATTCTGTATCTGAATGTCCAGTGAGCCCAGTATTTTTTAAACATTAATGCATGTGGTGAAATTGGGACTATTATTCTTGGGCTTTAGTCTTTTATTTAACAAGCTTGGAGAGGCCATGCATATAGGCAGTGATATTAATATAGAGGTGTTTGGCTGCTTGAAACACATTGTAATTTTTTGTAAATTTTTTCTTTGTAAGAGGAAGATTACCAATACTAACCATTAAAAAGAGATTTAAACTTCTAATAATAAAATGATCCCTATATGCTTTATAATTTCCTGTTTTTGCCTTTTAATATATTCATTTTATATTAAATATTTACCCTTTAGTTTATCAATTTAATGAGACTATATGCTCTTGATAAATGATCCCCTATACTTGATAATTTCCTGGAGATAGATGTAATATTATTATTATTACTATTATTGTTATTTACCAAGAAGAGCCACTAGAGCCAAAATAATTTGCTTTATCTTTGATAGAAATTTCCTATAGTTATTGAAAATATTTTATAGCATAACAGTAAGGGTTTCATTTACTTAGAAATAACATACTTAAAAATAAGAAATTATTACAGAAAATCTATTGATATTATTGAAAGACAAGTCTTACAAATGATAATTTTTAAAATATACAACAGGAAGTATAATGTAGTTTATGAGTGGAGAGATTAAGATATAAGAAAGGGTTATCGAATTTACCTGGGGACATTTACTCTAAATAGCAGGTGCTTTTTATGAAATAAAGAACTGTGATGTCAACCAGGCTTTCAGTTCATACTGACTTAAAGGGCTTCAAAACTAGAACTTGAGGCCTCTGAACTGTCATTTCTACTGACATGATTAAAACGGTCACATTACACTTAATATTTTTACATTAAATTATGCCTCTTAAAAACATTTCAAAATAATGGTTGCCTCTGAGAAAAGCCCTGGGTCTTGTACATTCTTGAAAATCTCCTACCATAAGATATAAAGAAAGCTATTTATTTGGAAATTCATTTCTAAGAAATGGATTTTAATTGCCTTGAGTATATTGTACATGCCATACTTCTCTACAGGTGACTGAATATGAGTAACTTCATTCTGTGGAACACCAGGGCTGGACTTTATTGAGCTGGTTTACATGTATGAATAAATGCTGCTATTTTGACCCCAAATGTTTGCTTTTTAAATTTATTTTTGCATAGTTGCCATGATCTCTCAGTCATCCATCTAGACATCTGGACATCTAGACTTCTAGACAAGTAGTTCAACATGTGAAAAGCAAATGCACATAGAGTTCCTCACTTCACATAATGTGCTTTTGGGAAAGTTTTAGAAATTCAATTTAATTAAATGATTTATCAAACAACTTTGACTATCTTATTCATTCAATAACTGAGTGTTGATTTCATCTCTAAGTTCTACAATAAAAACTAATTTATTCATGTAATAGAGATAAGTAGATCGAATTCCAAGGTGGAAGTCTTCAGATCTGGTTTAAGTTCTACTACTAATGAGCTTTGTAGCCCAGAAGCGATGCCAGGTATCACTGAAGTACATTTTCCTTGCCTGTAAACTATGGCAATTAGAAGTAAAAACAAAAGAACACTTTTCACTTTAAAAAAATCTATAATTCTAATTTAACTAGATCGTCTCCCGTTGATTTCTTAGCTTAACTGTAATGTGATAAGCCTTTAACTTAGTTTCACTGGATTGTATGCTACAATAAATGGTCCACTAAACATGAGGCTAGAGAAATAGAGGAATAAGGTTCTCGTAAAGGGTCTTGGCCAGTTCCTTCTATGGTGGAAACAAGTAGGAAGCAGTGGAGAAGTGGTTAAGAGTAAGAGCTTGACAAATTGAATTTCACTTTCCACTATTCACAAATTTAAACTTGTTAAGCTTGTATCACAACATCTGTAAAATAGGAACAGTAATACCTGTATTACAGGATTATATACATAAAATAATACCTGTTCAGAGCTCGGTATGGATCCTAGAATGTGGTTATATGGTTCCTTCCCCCCTCCACCGAGAGGAGCAGGTATGGTTATTATTTTGGTGCTATTAATGATAGTATCTTCCACCATAGCAGGAAGGATAGAATGAAACTGACAAGAAATTCTGCAGCTGAAATGTAAATAATTTTCTCATCCTGGAAAAATGCTCTTGCTGAAACAACAAGAGTGTCACCTATAGTGTCAACATATTGGGCATCTCCTGGAGAGCTTATGGAACTCTACTTCCAGAAGATGGCTCTTTCTGCCTAGTGATATGTTATCCTGGTCTCCACTTCAAAGACTTTCTTTTATTTAAAAAAAAATTTTATTTTATTTATTTATTCACTTACTTTACTTTGACGAGAAAGAGAGAGAGGAAATGAGAAAGCAAGCCACCAGGTCCGGGAGTTGAACCTTGGTCACCCATGTGGGAGCGTCCAGCACCTTAACCACTATGCCACCTGCTCATCCCAAGACTTTCTTCTTCTCAACAAAATAGAGTCAAGGGCTTTATTTTACTTTGCCTTAACAGGATATACCTTTTAGACAAAAGGTCTCTGTGAGAGGCAATCTATGTTTAACAAAACCCACATTTCAGGGTCAGTTTCTACTATGACTACCAGATTACTGAGCCTAAATCTCAGGAACATCTTGGCTATTTGATCAACTCACAAACTCACTACTATCTAAATCCTATTAATGGTTCAATAAAAGGTGAAAAGACAAACTGTGCCTTATGAAATTGTCGACATGCTGCAAAATCTCTGCTTCTCTCCAAAGGTTTTCTCTCAATGCCGCTTTGTGTTCCTGACAGCTGTGTGCTACTGGGATCTTAGGGAACTAGAGCTGGGATGACCTTTTAGCTCCCCAGGCCTCCCAATTCTTGCCTTTAACCACCATGGGCCTCTTTAAACTGACTCAAGTAACTGTGCTGTCAGCTTCAGCTTCATGGCAGCCAAGATAACTTAATGGACTCATGAGTAGACAGAGCTGAGATGGCTGAGAGCTTGAGAGGCTTAAAAACATGAGAGTAAGATTTCTCAATTAGACAAATACCGAGCCTAGAATTTGTTGCCTCTAACTTACTCCAGCTCTTGTGAGTCCTCATTTTTGAAAGTATCCCTAAGTATGAGCAATTAAAGACAGTTTTTTTTTTTTTCATTCCAAAGAGTACACATGTGACAGGACAGTGATGTTTTTTTAAAAAATAGGGGTGCCTGTGAGTATTTTCTTCTTGTCCTTATTCATGAATAGAAACTGTAAGATGGGAATTAATATGTCATTTGTTATCTTAAGATATGTTATTTATTTCTGCCTTAATACTATTTTACTAGTTTTCTAAAACTATGAGAATTAATTATCTACCCCTGAAACATAATTTAAGATGTTAATAGATCATTATGTACTTTTAGGTTCTATTTTTAACTTTTGATTGCATTTAGTTCTAAATTATCTCTGATTCCACTTCAATTTTACCCCATAAACAACTTTGGTGGCAAATCAACCAAGAACCTGACATGTGAATGACTACTTCTTGAGATAAATTGTAGTTAAGGTAGCTACAGAATGCAGTAATAAAGTAAGTCAACCATACTTCGCTTTGATTAGAAAGCAGCATTCTTAGTTAAGCTTTGCCTGACAAAATTTTGACTATGGGGTGAAGTTAACACATTTCTTGGTTCGATGTTAATGTGATGTAGCAAAGGTAGACACCAATTTCAAAGTAGCATAGTGTTATTTTTCACTTACTTAATAGTACAACAATAAATAAAATTTTTCTCTTACCAAGCAAAGATATATTTTGTTCTATGAACTGTCTGACAGGTACCAGCTCTTTGGAATCTGAAATTTGAATCCAGGTCCACAGTAAAATAATTCTTTTAAACTTCTGTGAATAGCTACTCAACTGGATATATCACAAGTTTTAATGTGACTTTTTTTTTTATATTCTGCTTATTTCCACTCAGGATTTGAAGTATTATAGGCCATTACAGAAAGAGTTTTAAAGATGTTTTACTCATATATATATATATACACACACACACACACACACTCATATATATGATATATATATATATATATATATAAAACTTACCAACAGGTTTATAATATTGAAATACAGTGCTTATACACTGAGGGAGACTTGTATAAGGGAAATTTCAGGGGATGTTTTAGTTCAAAGAAACCTTTTAAAAGTCTGGAGTTATTTCTGTAATAATAAATTAGGCTTTCTTCCTTCTCGAGACTGCATATAGGGAGCCCTTCATGTGATTAAACTCCGTGCGGAAACAGAATGAGAGAAATGATGGTCTTTAAATTATTAAAGAGTGGTTTAATATTGTTTTATTCAATGGGTGAATTCAAGGATAGGCACACACACTCATATATATTATATATATATATATATATATAAAACTTACCAACAGGTTTATAATATTGAAATACAGTGCTTATACACTGAGGGAGACTTGTATAAGGGAAATTTCAGGGGATGTTTTAGTTCAAAGAAACCTTTTAAAAGTCTGGAGTTATTTCTGTAATAATAAATTAGGCTTTCTTCCTTCTCGAGACTGCATATAGGGAGCCCTTCATGTGATTAAACTCCGTGCGGAAACAGAATGAGAGAAATGATGGTCTTTAAATTATTAAAGAGTGGTTTAATATTGTTTTATTCAATGGGTGAA